ATTTCGATATAAAGTAAATTCATATCAGGGTATTCTTTATTAGTAAAAACCATTTTTGTTGAATGGAAATTAGCTATTGTGTTTGAATTGCACAAAATAAAAAACTAAAAGATTAACTTGGCGAACTGACAACTATTTGACAATGAAAACATAGGTTATACTTCTGTTGGCAGTTTAAAGCCAACTAGTGCAAAAAACAATAATTTAACTTTCATGCCAAAAAAACGAAAAATTTTCAAATCGATTTTTCTAGAGCGGTGTATCCTACAGACCTAAGATAAGTATACCTTTTAATTCTAGAATACCTAAAAAGTTAATAATCTAGTTTCAGGAATGTTTAAAAGGTAAAGACAAAAAAGTTATGCGTTACAATAACCCGCGACGACCTACCAAAAAAGCTAATTACAAGGCGCACTCTTCAAAGATCTTAGTAACTATTTTTGGACTAGGTGAATTGGGTTAAACTGTCTTAAAATTATCTGAGAAATCTCGGGTCTTCATTTGTCAGGAGAGTTTGTGGACACCCTGTATATTTCCTATTGTTTATTTTCTTTTCTGGACTATTTATTTTTGTAATCATCATCAGTATATTGTATCCTAATCAATATAATTTTTACTCATGAAAAATAATTTTTTGTTTAAATATTTAAACAATAATATTAAAAAAAAAGGATGACGTAAATATTCACTTTTGATCGTACACTTTTCAGTTATAAATAATAAAATATTATTATCGATTATTCTCTTTATAGGACAAGTAGAACACTTCTCCTTTATGAACACCAAGCACGAGGTTACGTCTTTGGCATTATCATTTTATTCAGGATTATTTGCTTATAATGGTTGGTAAGTACTATTTTCTATTGTAAACTACGCCTTGAAAAATACATTTTCATTTAAATATAGAATCACAAAGGGACTCTGAATAAATATGTATTATGTTAAAGGCAAATTTTATATAAGGCAAAAAACAAGAACCAAATATTTTGTATGTCTGCATCGTCAAGTTAAACGTGGAACGAATTAATAAATATGTGTACGAGAGGTACGAGAAGAAAACAGTATAAAAGATTTAATACAGTCATTATGTGTTTAGCGGTTTGGCTTCGAACTAGGTTCATTAGCCACAAATCTTCTTCTTCTTTGGGTGCCGTCTTCAATGAAGGTTGGCGATAACCTGAGCAAAATCATTTCTGTCCCTGGCTTTTCTTATTAAAGATTGAGAATCCAAACCAGTCCACTCACGAATGTTCTTCAACCAGGACGCCTGCCGTCTACCAGGACCACGTTTTCCCTCTACCTTCCCCTCTATAAGAAGCTGCAGTAGCTGGTATTTCTCATTTCTGTATATGTGTCCCAAATATGAGGTTTTCCGTGTTTTCATTATTTTTAAGAGTTCTCTGTCGGTACCCATCTTGTGTAGGACCTGCTCGTTGCTCATATGCGCTGTCCAGGGACTTTCAGCATCCTTCGAAATAACCACATTTCAAAACTTTCCAAACGCCTTAGTGAGTTGATTTTGAAGGTCCAGGCCTCCATTCCATACAATAAGGTGCTGTAAACGTAACATTTCAGCATTCGGTATCGGATTTTGAGATTGAGTGTTTGGGACGTAAACATTTGTTTCATTTTTAAAAAGACATTTCTTGCTTGTTCAATTCGCGATTTTATTTCTATGTCTGGATCTATATCTTTCGTTATCCAGCACCCTAGATATCGAAATTTCTCGACATTTTCGATAATGTTACCATTCACGTTTAAAGCCATGGGTGGATGGATGGATGTTTTGGAGACAGTCATTGTTTTTGTCATTTGACGTTAATGCTGAGGCCGTATTGTTTTCCAGTCGATCTGACGCGATCTAAGAGTGTCTGGGTGATCCTGTGCGCTCTCTGCAATTAGGACCGTGTCGTCGGCGTATCGTATACATTATTTAGAACTCTGCCGTTAATTTTAACACCTTCTCTTGATTGCTCTAGTGCTCATGCAAAGATTTCTTCCGAATATATATTAAAAAGTAGTGGTGACAATACACACCCCTGTCGTACACCTCGCTTGATATTGAATATTTCTGTGTCACCGGCTTCTGTTCTAACTGCTGCAGTTTGGTTAAAATACAGCGTTTGGATAATTTTAAAATCGTTCTCGTCTAGTCCCTTTTTGTGAAGGCAATCCATCAGCTTATCATGTTTTACTTTGTCGAAGGCCTTTTGATAGTCAATAAAACATAAAAAGAGATCCTTTTTTTGGTCTCGACATTTTTGCAGCAGTATAATAAAACTGGTTAATGCTTCCCGTGTCCCAAATCCATTTCGGAAGCCAAATTGTTCATCACTGATATCCTCTTCACATTTCTTATAAATGCGTTGGTGAATAACTTTCAAGAATAACTTTAACATATGCGACATTAAACTAATAAGTCTGAAATCACCACACTTCTTTGCTCCCTTAGTTTTTGGAAGGGGAATAAAGACTGATTTTAACCAGTCTTGTGGAATTTCACCGCTTGTATATATTTGATTAAATAATTTGACGATTATATTTAAATGTTTCTCTTCCAGTAGCTTTATGACTTCCGTATGTATGTCATCGGGGCCAGGGGCTTTCCCATTTTTTGCGTTTTTGATTGCTTTCTCTACTTCTTGTTTTAATATAGGAGGACTGGTTTCATGGTTTTTATATATTATGTTGTTTAGTGGTGTGTCCGAGAATAGTTCTTCTATGTAATGTCCCCATACGTTGTTTAGATCGCTTAATTCCCATATCGTTTCATTCTCGTCGTTTGTTAATCTACAAGGAAGTCTTTGTTTTGTTATTCCAGCTAGATCTTTTATTTTTTTGTGAAGCGTTTGACTGTCGTGTTTCTTTATTAATTCTTCGATCTCTTGGCAGTTTTATATCATCCAATTTTCTTTTGCGGTAGCTATTTCTTTCTTGATTTGACGATGTATCTCCCTATATTTTTCATTATCTTTATTTTTGTAGGCTCTTCGAGTATCCATCATTCCCAGAATTTTTTGTGTCATCCAGGGTTTAGATTTTCTTTTGTTATTAGTGTCTTTTATATATTTCTCGGCGCTAGTAAAAGCATTCTTGACTTCAGTCCATAAGCCTTCTGTAGTTGGTGATAACTCTCTTTGGAGTCTTTCACATTCCTCGTTGAGTTTAGTCTTTACCATACTTTGTATATTTTCTTGTTTAAGTAAATTGATGTCGGTTTTTCTTTTGACAGTCTTTTTTAGCATTTTGAACTTTATTTTTAATTTAGCCACTAGTAGGTTGTGATCCGATGGAACATCTGCGCCTGGGTATGTTCTTGTATCCGTTACTGCATTTTTATATCGCTGGTTTATAATAATGTAATCGATTTGATTTCGGACACAATTGTTTTTATTATCTGCGGGTGATTTCCACGTATATAGCCTCCGTAGTGGTAGCTTGAACCAGGTGTTCATGATAGTTAGTTGTTTCTCCTGGCAAAATTGTAGTAGTCTGTCACCTCTATCATTGCGATTGCCCAGTCCGTAATTTCCACAAATATGTTCCACTTTTCCACAACCCACTTTGGCATTAAAATCTCCTACGATTAATGTTGTTTCATAACTCTTTGTCATTTTAAGTAATTCTTGGAGATTCTCATAGAACTGCTCTATTTCATCATCCGACTTGTCAGCAGTTGGTGCATAAACTTGGAGTATGTTTATGTTTACGGGCTTACTCTGTAATTTCAAAAGAAGCATTCGATCAGAATAGGGTATGAAATCAATTACTGCTTTTTTTATCTGCTCTGTTACTATAAGGCCTACACCATTCCAGTGTCTCTGCTGTTCGTTCCCCGAGTAGTATATTGTGTAGTCATCGATGGATACATTTCCAGAACCAAACCATCTCATCTCACTTATACCTAGTATGTCCACTCCAAGTCTTTTCATTTCACGAATTGTATTTTGAACTTTACCGGGTTCAAACACACTTTGTACGTTCCAAGTGCCTATTCGTACCAAGGATTGGTTATTAATGTATTCCACTTTCGGGTGGTTCCTCCTCGCGGGGATTCTTTGCACCCCCTGACCACTTAAGGTCTGCCGCGGACTAGGGGCCGTTAAATTTTTGTTTTGCATAGGTTACTTTACTAGGAAAAAATATAGTGCAGTAGTTTCCCGTTGCTTTCTGCACCGCAGTATCACAACCGGTTAAATCATAATTTGATTACCGCCCGTGACTATCCGGTATCAGACCGATACAGAGATCTTGTCTCTACCGCTCTGATCCTGTAATGACATAGCTGCTGCCCTATGCCATGCTCTCAGTTGATCCGCGGGTGTTTATTTGGCAAAGCCTTATTCGCACCTGTCCTACATATCTGTAGGACGTTCCCTATCAGCCATTGGGAGGCGCCGTGTCGGGGTTGAGAGCTGCCCCCCTCCGAGTGTGTTTTCCAAGAAGTACTGAGAAGCCCCTACTCAGTTCAGAACCTCTCCTTCTTAGAAACTAACACCGGCAAAAATCTTAGTAATGAAATATTACTGACTTAAAATTAAATGTATTGTAATACACCTATTTTTAAGTAGTACGTATCTTGTGCGCATCAATTTTCGACCACTATAGTTTTCTGGTCATCTTCGGGTCTCCGGACAGGTTAACTTGAAATTCTTAAATTGAGTCGAGTTTTACAAAAACCGCAAGTCCAAATTTAACTAAATGGGTTAAGAACACCAACAAGTACAAAAAAAATGTTTTTAAGAGCGTCCAATAAGATTCTGCAAAAAAGACAAGAGTGCTAAGATTTCAATAAGTCAAAATCTCAATGTTTTTGCAAAATGCACATACGGCCTCTCCATTTCCAAATGCACATTCCAGTTTCGAAACAGGATAGGACATGTGTGCTTTTGCAGAAAATTGCAGCTGACTAGATGTTATCAGACTAGACGTGTTTTGAATATTTAGTGGCGACTACAATATAACCTAAAGCCCAAAAGCTTAAAACTATAACTTAAATCATGAAACATAGTGAAGAAGTAACTACTAATAATTGGTCCAAAAAAAGTCCAAAAAAGATAAAACGTGAAACAATGATAAAAGAGTTAATGGTTCATGGTGAAAAATACATGAATCACAAGGGCAATCCTGTTACAGCACGTAGAACTGGTGAACCCTGCGAGTATGTTTGAAATACCTGTTTCTCTATCTCTAAGTTTCTGAAGAAAAAAGGATTTTCATTATAAGGCAATTTAGTGATGGATACTAAAAATAGTCAAGATTCTCATTTAACTGGCCTTATTTCAATGAATTTTATATTATTAGAAGACGTGCTCGATCGGAAGTTGTAACGATTTTGCTACCACGTTGGGCGTCACTTATAACCATATAAATTGCTTATAGAGGGTTAAAAGGAAAAACTGAACAATTACTGGGCTGAAGATAGGGTAAGCAAATAAATTGAACCATTTGCGAACGGCTACTTTTGTTTTGGTTGGTTAGCTGGGTCGTGAATAAGTGTCTTTATTGAGGGAGTGAAAGGGGTAACTACAAAGAAAGAGATCCTGGGCAAAAAACACAAGAAGATTTCTAAACTATTTTTAAACAGAATCTTCTTGCTAAATAGAAAGAAAGGTTTTCTTTCCTAAAAAAATTTTAATAATGAAAATCTTTTTAGAGGAAATTATTTTAAACTTCTGTTTTAAGGTGAAACATTACATATTTATTATTATTTCACATTAACAGTTATTACAAATAAAATTATCCAAATTTATTAACAAACCTTACATTGGCGCGCTTTGTACCAATTTAAACAATTATTATAAATCAAAATATCCTCATTTTGATCAACATTGCTTACATTGAGTTTAACTTTTAAACAAAACAAAATTTAAAATTTTGGTTATGTACCAAATAACAGAAAAGGATAATACTGACTGTCATATGTCAAAATGAAATATCAAATTTTTTAAAATATTAATTAGTTATTAATTAATAAATTATTATTAAAGTTAACTTTATACAAAAGAAGACTAATATAACAATTAGCTGATCCATAAAACTTATAATTTTATTTATTTATAATTTTTTAGTTTGTCATGAAAGCAAATCTTTGTATATATTAATCAAACATGTTTATTTTACGCAGAAAATTTTTAACAAAAAGTACCTTGCTTCACTGGCTGTGTATTTCCTTTAAGAAAGTTTTTGGATTCCATAAAAATCAAATACAGTATCCCACACAAACTACAAATAGTCTGGGGTGACCTATGGAAACACAAAATGGACAAATCTTGGGGAGATCATACAATGAATTGAGCATCAGATTATCCTGGATGATAACAAAATGTATTCTTCAAATCTCGGCTGCTTAATTTTTACTTAAAACCATGTGGACTTCTTAAAATGTTGGAAATGCTGTTTTTTAAATTCCTTGTATGGGATACAACATAACAAATCAGTGAAAAATTGCCGGTTTTGAAAAAACTACATGCTGAGATCTTATCTGTTGCGTTTCCTATCTGCTTCTCTTAACTGCTACTACACTTTACACTATTTTCCGATGACAAAAAACTAATAACGAATAACAATAACGAATTGAAACAAAATCCGGACCCAAAACAATAAAACCGACTGATTTTGACAGCGGTTCCACTGAGAGTGTTACCATTTTCCCAACAAGGTATAAACAAAACCTAAACGGAAAGATTCCTGTTTATTTGATGCGCAAAACATCCTAAAGCAGAATCATGATCAAACGAATACCAATTTGTGTTAATATAAAGAAACTAAAAATTTTTATTATCAATCTTAGCGACGTAAACAGATTAAGAATATTAAGAATACATGCAAATTTAGGGCAAGAGAATCTGAAATCAAAGTTTGCAAGAAAACTTTTCTCAGTCTGTATGGCATCAAAGATGCTCGTCTAAGACAAATACAAAATTTCTTGATGATCACTGGAACGTTCTTCACAGATAAACGAAAAATCCATCAGAACAGACCAAAAAAACTCCAGAATGTATTTTGACCCCTGCGACCCTGTCCACGTGTGTCATAATTATCTCCCAATCTCTTAGTACCTAAGAGAAGTTATGTCCTTAACCCATTCTCCCATGTAATTACCAAAGTTTCCCTTTCCATACGCTACTCTGATGTCGGGCAGCGGTATCACCAGTACCAAGATAGAACGTAAGGGAAATGATCCTGGATCGGTATTTTACTGGATATTACAAGTTTTATTAACAGAACAATTACCGATATAAGTAATCCCCACTTGTTAGTTAACAGCTACTGGTGGAAGAACTGACACGTGGTAGGACACTTCATTGCTCTGGAGCAGAAGGCGGAAAAGCTAAATTAGTTAACGGCATTGAGATGTGGAAAGTCACGGAATGACTACTACATTACAGATCCGCATGGATATCCTTAGTAAAAATCATCGTGGACCCACTAGTCGATAATTTACTTAATAGTCACGGAGCTTGGAATCAAAGATCCGGCAGGGGAGGACAATCAGATTTAGACAACACTGCCTCTCAGGTTGTCATCACGGTAAATCCCTGTCAAACAAATAAGAATAACTTTATAGCCTTGAAAATTGGAAAATAAGAAGTTCATATAAATCCGACAAACTAGATAACGCTGTGTTGGAAATGTGCAGAATGAATATTATTATACTGGGGCTTAGCGATATACAATGGCCTAAATCACGAAAATGTAACTCCAGAAATGGAAGAATGTATTATTCCGGTAACAACTCCAATCACAGACAGGTAGTTGGCTATAGCTAATAAGAATTCTCAAAAAGCTGTTTGTAACTTTGTTCCCTACTCAGATCGACTATTGATGCTGTCTCTCAACTCCCATTTAAAACGTAAAATAAATATAATTCAAATATATGCAGCCACTGCAGACAATGATGAAGACACCAAATAATCGTTTAACAAAAAATATTCATAAAATTTGGAAAAAACAACTATCTAACCAAGACGGATCTACGGCTGATTTAAGTCATCCAGTAATAAAATTCGATTTTGCTCTAAATGACGTCTTTGTCTTTATGTTTCTAAAAGCTAATTGGGAATTTTTTATATTTAACGGTAAAAATTAAAAACAGAATTCTCATAATGTTTAATGTATGAAGAATAAAAAAATATTTCTAAAAAATACAAACTTTTGATTAATCATTCAACAAAAGTTTTAAATTATCTTAAATTATCATCCTCAAGCATTCTCATCTCAAAAATTTAAGGAAATATGACCGTGAGAAGCGGAAGTGAAATATAAAGAAATATAATAGGTCAACATTTCCATTAAGAAAATTCTTTGAACGTGGAATTGGAACGAGTTTTTTAATATAGAAAATTGATGAAGAAAATCATTAACTGCCAAATGCAGACATAAATTTGGTACGATCGATAAACACACTGTGTTTACACTTCGTCCTGCTCCGCCAAATCAATAAACTATTTTACCTAAAATTATTCAAGTACAATTTTATAATTTTGTGTAGTAATGTATATATAATATATAAAATATTTTTTTGCTATTACTGCAATGTCTTTGTCGAGAAATTTGACCTCGTAATCCTCATCTTGGAAAGAAGTTATTTGACGTACATAAAAAAAGTCTATCTTTGAAACAAGAAATTTTACAAGAACAAAATTTCCGACGCCAATATTTTCATTGTCGGGGATGGCTTTAAAATCTTCGAAATCTTCTTCGCTGTCGTCTGACTAACAATTTTGCAAATCTACGTCAGTACTAGACTCGCTTGACATAAAAATATATCTTTTCCTACCCACTATAATCAAATCTTTTTTTACTGATGCCTTATTCTGTTTTAAACTTAGTTTCCTTTTTCTCTCTGCATCTAAACTTTGTCTTTTTTCGTATTCCGGCGTGTCTGTATATATTGTTGACTATGCTTCTCTCTTATTTATTTGTTTTTTCTTTTCTTCAAGTTGTTTCTTTGGATATGGTCTAGTGTGTTAGTCGATGTGCGAAGAACTTGAGGCGAGCCTGGAGGTGTTTTATTAATAATTTTTTCTACTGCACTGCTTGATCTCAAAGGAATTTGCGGAATTGTTTCGGTATTTAATTCACTTTGTATGATAGCAATATAACTAACGTCTTTGTTTTCCATTAATGGTTTATCGGTTACCTCGCTTGGCATAAAATCTGTATCACTGAATACAAGTCGACTTATTGGCCACAGACCAGTATTTTTAAATGAGCTTGTTATATTGTTAATTGTAAATACACATTCATATGCCTTCTAAGCCAAACGCGGCACATGTCGAATTGTAAGGGTTTTTGCAGAATTTGAAAGTAGCCAGACATGCTGTGCTGTAGCTAAATAGGACTTAAACGGTTAAAATACGTCAACATCTAGTGGCTGAGTTTTACGTGTCGTATGAGGTGAAAAAAATAGTAAAACGATCCCCTTTTCTCGACACAATTTAATGGCTTCTACAGATATTTGGGATTCGTGGTTGTCCAAGAGCAGAAGTACCTTGCTTTCCACAGAACATTTAACAGAATTCGCAAAGTGTTTTAGTACTTTTGTGAAAAGTACTTTCTTATTCCCTAACGCTATGGCAGATGTTGGGTATTCGTCGCCTAAATATTTTTCAGGGTTTCTAATTCTAGGATACACAAAGACTGGTGTTACTGCTCCACCAGCTGCACTAATCATCCCTACGAAAGTCACAAGTTCACCTTTCTCCTATGAAGAGATGAGAGTCACCTGTTTTTTTGTCGTTTGGGGAAACAACTTTAGCAGGTGACATAACTGTCGTTATGCCAGTCTCGTCCAGATTCCAGAGCTGTTCCGGCTTAAACTTGTATTTTTCCAAGACAGTGGCATACTTGGTAAAAAAATCTTCTATAAGTGTATACTAAAGAAGTATACTAACCTGCCATTTTATTCAACTCCCAACTGTTTTGTGCTGTAGTATTCGGTAGAACATTAGCAAAATCATAAGCCAGTTTCCTTATATATTTATAGTTTAGGCCATAGTTTAAGTTGGAACACGTTTTTATGTAAGCTACAAGCTCGAACTCTTCATGCAAAGTAAAAACTTGACGAGCTGTATATTTGCTAGTATACGAATTACCTACACTTTCATTACCTTAATCCAGCCAAAAGCTCTTTTTTTGTTTTTTTTTTTCTTTAAAAGGACCTTAATTTTTGACTGTATGGTTTGTCTTTTAACTTAATACTCTTGGGCAGCGTTGTATTGACTCAAACGCCATGCCAGTAGCTTTAATGGCCAATTTCATGGTATTTTCATTAATAAAAAAAATCAATATACAAATAATGTACGTGGGGAACATTCGGCTACTAGCTGAATCTAGGCACTCATCTTTCGCTTTTGACGTGAACCTCTAAATTCTCATAATACCATGACAAGAAGTATCCTCACTTATGGGTGTGAAAATTGGACAATAAATAAGAAAACCAAAAACAAAATAAGAGCAACAGAGATGGAATTCCTAAGGAGAAGCTGCAGAGTAACAAGAAGAGATAGAATAAATAACATGGAGATTAAGATGAGAATGGGAATGAACTCCGACATAATAGACTACATCGAACAGAAGAGGTTAACCTGGTACGGACATGTCAGAAGAGCAGACCAAAATCGGTGGATAAATAGAATAACAGAGTGGAGCCCGATAGGAAGAAGAAAGAGAGGCAGACCCGAAGATCTTTCAGAAATGAAGTGGACGAAGCAATGAGAAGAAGAAACCTACAGGAAGGGGACTGACTAAACAGGAAAAATTGGAGAAAACGGTTGAGTGAAGGAATACAGTGAAAACTGTGGAAATCCGTATATATATATATATATATATATATATATATATATATATATATATATATATATATATATATATATATATATAAAATAGTGGACATTACTTATTTATTATAGTATAGTTATTCTTCTTCTTTTTATGAACTTAAGACATGACTGTCTGTTTTTCAATGTGCCTCCAATCTTAAGCCAGTATAAAAAGCAATAAATTAATTAATTAATATATTAAATAATAAAAAAATAGTCTTTAGTTCACTTCTTTTTTGTGAACCTATTAATAAGTATGCATAAAGAAATATCTAAGGACAAAGAAATTTTAATATTAAATATTATATAGAGGTTTCTGTTTTTAATCCCAATAGTCAAAAATCCAAAAGTGATTAATGAATAATTATTGGTCAGCTACATCAGCTTTAACCATTGGATAAAAAGAGAAAGTTAGTAGATCCTTTTTTAATAAAGAATAAATAAAAAGAGTGTATTTCTTAGATCAGCGCTATGCCAGTTCGTTTGGTCTACTTCTTTTAGAGATATATTGGATATAACTTTAGAATTAAATTATTTTCTATTCCAGCAGTTCTCGAGATCTATTTTCTATATTATCACATAAATCTTCTTTTTTTTTCAGGAACTATCTAAATTTTATAATTGAGGAACTAAAGGACCCAGTTAGGTAATATACTTTTATGTTTATCTAATATTAAAATGATAGAGCAATTGAGTACGCATATGGACCTGACCTTTAATCGTTTTGATATTAAACTACCACTTTACTCTTATCAATTTTAATTTCGACAGTAACACTATAGAGATACAACAGTAGTCGCATAACATGGATACTAGTGTCTTTCCAAGTGGCAGTTATCTGTAGACACTCGTTTGATGTTCTTGGGGTAAGCGTGGTGTGAAAAATGGAAAAAAATTATGTATAGCGCAGATAAAATTATTCACAACAAAAGATATCATCGCCAAAATCAATTTGCAGCTTGTATATGAATATGAATACTCTTCACCTTCAATTTAATCCACGAAGAAATAAGCGGCTGAATTTAAGCTTGGCTATGAAGTTATCCACATTAAGGACAACAACAACCACACTGGTATCATCATCAACAAAAAATGCATGATGTGGTTTCAGAAGATTGCCATATAAACGTGTGTAAAATTTTTAATATTCGCAAGATTGGAGTCACGTGTGTTTATGGAGGATCACAAATGGGTCAGCATGATGTTTTCCGAAAAGTGCTTGGCGCGTTTTAAGAAGAACAAAAGTGACGCTTTTCATATGTACGTTAAAATGGATGAAACACGGATTCACTACTACATCGAAAAGCAAGCAGCACTCTAAGCAATAAATAAAATCCAGTTTTTTAGTCATCGCGAAAATGTCACCCTTAACTTAAAATAAAACTAAACGCAAGCAATACATAATATAAACGAACCCAGCTTAAAAAGCCTTTCTCATCAGGATAATACAAAGTATTTACAATGAATAAATTGAAAGATCTGCACTATAAAATTCTGACACCACCCTATTTGCCAGATTTAGCTTCCTTTATCATCCAACTTTCCTCATTATCTTATCAGAGAACAAATTTCGTCTGTAGGTCTGCATCTTTTACAGCACCTTCATATTATATTGAAAAATTAAACCTCTTTAAAAGCTTGAATAGATGTCTTCGCTATTAGTGAACTTCTGATCACTGCAAAATAAATTTAAAGTCTTAAAGAGTAGTCTTAATCCATTACAAAAGTATCTCATTTTTTGGAGGAATGTGATGTTTCATCGAAACATATCAAGTTGGCTATAGTCTGGAAATTAAGAACAGTGTTGTGTCATTATTAAATATAAATATCTATTAAATAGCCGATAATTCCATAAATAATACTACACCTCCTCATCAGGTTTTGTATCTTCATGAATTTTTACCTTACGGTCTCCAATGAATAACTTATTTGGGAATCTTGCTCTGGTCCAATATTTGTTAATGTACGTACCATTTTAATTAATAATTTTGAACGATAGGTATGGGTAGGTTTTTGGGTCTTGCTAGATACTCTATTTAGTTTCCAAAATCTTTGGGGTTCCGTTTATAGGAATGTTCGTAAAGAGTGACGGTCAAAGTAATTAAAAAAAAACTTTAAAATAAGACTTCGCAGTATTCTCTAGCATACGAAATGTGAAGGTTGATTCCTATTTTTTAGTGAGAAAAAAATAACAATACTATACAATACTATAAGACAGAGATTGTGCTAGGGTATTTAGCCGTATGCATAATGAAAGTTATAAAAGATTATTTACCTTTATAATCTATTAATGGTATTTAATATATTTGGTCATAATATATATATATATATATATATATATATATATATATATATATATATACTATCGCTTTATTGAATAAGGTGGCCAAATATATGGCCTAAGAGGACAAATTCTTCTTTTTTACTTTCATTTACCACTTTTTAAAATAGTTTTCATAAACAAAATGTTTGCTTTTAATTCTTAAACAGATATTTTCCTTTTATAGAAACCTACCTTTAGCCATTGCAATTTCGTGCACATTAGTTACCGCAGTGTATGTACTGACCAACGTTGCATTCTACACCACACTCTCCCCAGTCGAAATTCTTGGTTCAAAAGCAGTAGCAGTAACCTTCGCCAATAGACTATTTGGACCTTTTGCTTGGACAATACCAGTGTTTGTGGCTCTTTCTACATTTGGGGCTGTTAATGGAATTCTTCTTACATCTTCAAGACTGTTTTATGCAGGAGCATGTCACGGCCAAATGCCCGAGCTACTTACTATGATCCAGTCTAAGAGAATGACGCCTACGCCTTCTGTATTAGTAATGGTAAATATTGTTTTAAGTTATATTTATAGTATATTAAATATCTTGTGTACGTTCCAAAGTGATAGAAGTCACCTACTCTTTAAATTTGTTTTTATTCATGATGTTATTTCTATCACGAATTAAAGCAATGTTTAATTTAAATAGGTTTAAAGAAATAGTTAAAAGTATGAAAAAGATGAAAGAGAAAAACTTTTTTATATTAATTTATTAATATAAATAAGCCTCATATCACACATTGAATAATCCAATAATGAATTTGTAAATTTTAAACACCTAAAGAGATGTTTAATGCTCAATCATGGAATACATTTAACAAATGTCCAACTATTTAGATAAGGGAATATGTTCAAGAGAAAATTTGGTATAATTGCTTAAATATGTTGAGAATGAGTCTTGTTTTAAAAATTTACGTAGTAAGAGAAGTCGACATAACTCAGCACACTCTGTACTTAGGTATAGAGAATTTTTATAAGACTATACCTTATTTTTTGAGGACAAATTGAAAATGCAATAAAATACAGGGTGTCTTATAAGAAAAAATATATCTTTGATGCGCTGCAATTTAATGGGACAATCTGTATATTTCAAAATAACTTTAAAATATAGCTTTTGTCAACTTACAAACTATTTATGTAATTTTTTTTAATCTTTTAATATTTCACTGTAATCTTCCGTCCCGTTAGTGGTGGCTCACCCTCATCATCATCATCAGTAGCTCGACAACCCTTTCTGGGTCCTGGCTTATTCTAGGATTTTCCGCCATTCTATTCTGTTCTTTGCTTTGTTTTTCCAGTTGGTAATCTTAAGTGTTTTCAGATCTTATTCCACTTGTTCCATGTACCTAAGTTTCTTTGACCTTCTCCCTACTGGTGTTTGCCTCATTATATGTTTTGGCGTTTCAGTCTCCAACTGGTGGGGGTGACTTACCCTATATAATATAAATATGCCCTCTCCATCTATACTATATATACACTCAGGTGCAAAAAATCAATTCATGTCGATGTTATAGCAAAGAAGACACACTTTGTCACTTACAGATTGAGCATAGATTTATGAAGGAACATTACATGTACATAAGAAATACAATTTATGGAAAAAATTATTTATTTATGAAAATATATTGCATTAGAAAATTTAAAAAATGTGAAATAATTAAATTTTGAACATGAAGTTGGTCTAAACGCGAGCTGGGAGAAAATTAAATACAACATTGAAGAAGCAGCAGAAGAAGCTCTAGGAAAACGCAAAGTCATACTGAAGAAAAGAAACAACATCAATACACCATGGTTCAGAAAAGAAATGAAAGAGAAATGTAAAGAGAAACAAATACCCCAGAATCCCGAGACACATATATAGAAGCATACGAAATGAAACAAAGCAGTTGGTAAGAAGAACAAAAAATGAACACTGGGAACAGTTTACAAAAAGGTTGGAAAGCGACTTCTACAACAAAAACAAATATGGAGATTCATAAGAAACCAACGAAAAGAAATGGCAGAATTGAAGGAATACAATAACATACCAGCAAGCGAATGGGAAAGATACCTGACGAAACTGTTTAAACAAGTGAAAATAATAATCAACACAATAACGTACCTGAATTAAGACACGAAATAGAAATCAGTTTTCAGGAAGTACAAATAGCCATAAATTCACTCAAAAATAGAAAGTCGCCAGGACCAGACGGAATAACCAACGAGCTTCTAAGATACGAAGGAGAAAGTATAACCCTAGAGATGACAAAACTTGTACAAAAACTAATATTGCACTGCAAGATATCAGACCCATGGAGAACCAGCATAAGTATACTAATGTTCAAGAAAGGAGATAAAGAAGACCCCAACAATTATAGAGGTATAAATCTACTGAACACTGCACTTAAGCTTACCACAAAAGTCCTAACCAACAAAATCAATAAACTAACAACTTTATCAGATGAACAACAAGGATTTAGATCCTAAAGACCTTGCGTAGACGCCGTATTTGTACTAAGACAAATCACAGGAAAGACCATCGAGTACAATAAACCAGCATATCTATGTTTTATAGACCTGACAAAGGCTTTTGATCGCATCCAAGTCGAAGACGTCTTACACATACTTCTAAGATACGCAGGAGAAAGTATAACCCTAGAGATGACAAAACTTGTACAAAAACTAATATTGCACTGCAAGATATCAGACCCATGGAGAACCAGCATAAGTATACTAATGTTCAAGAAAGGAGATAAAGAAGACCCCAACAATTATAGAGGTATAAATCTACTGAACACTGCACTTAAGCTTACCACAAAAGTCCTAACCAACAAAATCAATAAACTAACAACTTTATCAGATGAACAACAAGGATTTAGATCCTAAAGACCTTGCGTAGACGCCGTATTTGTACTGAGACAAATCACAGGAAAGACCATCGAGTACAATAAACCAGCATATCTATGTTTTATAGACCTGACAAAGGCTTTTGATCGCATCCAAGTCGAAGACGTCTTACACATACTTTATAAAAGAAATATACCAATCAATATTATACAAATCGAAAACATCTACTTCCATAATCAAATACAGGCAAAGTTAAATGAAAAACTAACACAGTGTATACCAATACAAATCGGAGTCAGGCAGGTTCAGTCGTGTTTCTCTTTAATATAATAATGGACGAAATAATAAAAGCAGTACGTAAAGGCATGGCTACAGAATGGGGAACAAATAAATCCAAATATTATGTTATGCAGACGACTCCGCATTAATCGCTTAGACAGAAGATGAACTCCAAAGATTAACACACTTCTTCAATACGACAGCTAAGAAATGCAATATGATAATATCAGCAGAAAAGACAAAATATATGACAACATCTAAATAACCACTACGATGTAAAATCGAAATTGATGGGATGATAATAAAGCAGGAAGCAAGGTTTAGATATCTGGAAATAGATATAACTAGTTACGGAGATGTTGAATAAGAAATACGACAACAAAGCTTAAAAGCAAGTAAAGCGGGATCTCTTAATGACACAATCTAGAAGAACAAACAACTAAGACAAGACACAAAAACAAAAACAAGAATCTATAAAGTAGGAGTTAGACTTATATTAATATACACGGCGGAGACTAGACCTGACACATCTAAAACGAGACGACTACTAGAAACAACAGAGATCTAAATACTCCGGCGAATATCAAGGAAAAATCTGTTGAGAAAGAAGAAGGCGAAAACATAAGAAGAGCATGGAATATAGAAGACATAAATGGATGGGTGAAAAAACCGAAAAAGAAGTGGAACCAATACATTAGTAGAATGGCAGAGGATAGGATAGTACGAATAGCACGAGATAAGTCACCAACTGGACCAACGTGCCTGGCCCTAAGCTCAGGCACGTTGTTTGGCCTGAGTAGCCAAACTTGAATTCATCGTCCCAGTGTTTCCTATACATGTTCGATTGGATTGAGGTCAGGGATGTAAGCTTGCCAATTTATACGAACAATATAAATATGTTATGATATCTTCAAGTATCTATTGACGATTCTAGCACGGTGGGACGCATATTATCGTCGATAAAAATAAAATTAAGTCCAATGAATAGAGCAAAAGATACCACATGCTCACATAAAATGGCCGTTATATACCTTGCTTCTGTCATAGAACCTCTATCCACAAGAATTAAGTCAGTACGGGTATTAGAACTTATACCAGAACAAACTATAACTGGCTCTTCTGGATAGGTTATTTTGTCGGCAATAGTGCATTGGGTAAATCGTTCTTCTTGCATTCTCTAGATTTTTTCGTAGCCGTCTGGTCACCTTAAGTAAAATGTAGACTTGTCCAAGAACAAAACATTACTGCATTCTGCATAGTTCCAATTTTCATGATCCCTTGCAAAAGCGAGTGGAGCTCTCCGGTGTTCCACGGATAGTTGTGGACATAGGGCTGGTATTTTAGATAATAAATTCACTTTATAAAGTAGTCGACAAATTGTCCACAGACTTACATCTACATTTTCGACTTCGTTCATGTGATTTATTAGCTCAATTGAAATTATATCTATATTTTTCGTAAACATGAACAAACCAAAAATCGATCATTGTGTGCGGATGTTGTTTTTGCTAAGACCTGATTCTAATTTACTAGTGTAGTTCCCTTTTTGATTGAACCGCTGAATTGTTTTTTGAACAGCACAAGAACTTACCCCTAGCACCAGGGCGGTATAATATTGGCTACGACCATCTTGCACTAAAGCAATGGTTCTTGCAGCATATGTTGGTGTTAAAGACATTTCATTACAATTCAAAATTGTGAACTCAAAACGTTTTGATATCAAATTTATCTGGTTTTTCAAATCAGTACGACAACAAATTAATTTCTTGACGCTTATCAAACTTAAATTTTTGACAAAAACCTAAATGAAATGCTATGAAAAAAATAAAAATGATATATAGAAATTAATACTTGTACTTCTATGAGGGTTTTGTCTAAATTTCTAAATGCCATATAACAAGTTCCTAAGTTTAAAAACTCAATAGGTAAACTCGCAATAAATGGGAAATATGTCATGGATCGAATTTTTGTACCTGAGTATAAATATTATAAATTTACACAATGCAAATCTTCAACGCTAGATATTTCGTCGACGATGTCTGTCAGGATAAAAATAGGCATACTTTCCAAAATTTCGTTCTATCGTGTTATTCGCCATAATAATATCTTTTATGTTAACATTTTCTATCTTCTTATTTCTGTTCAGAGTAAATTGCTTAGTGTAATTAAAAATTATTGAATTAATAATTTGTAAAAACCATTTTCGCAATTATTTTTTTAATATTCTTTTAAAGTATGATTGCCTTTAGTTGTTTTCCCGAGTTACACAAATTTAATCATGCAAAAAGAAATTGGTTTCCGTAGTAAAATTTGCATAGTATTGCGTTCCATTTATTTCTTTCAGCTCACGATTTGCGAATAAACTTCAAGAATGGGTTCAGTAGTTTTATCGCATAAAAT